ACAGGTGTTATGGACTTTAACAAGCTGTGAACATCAGGACACTTTTTGACTTTCATTTTGCACCCAGAAATTAATGTGAAAGCCCTTGGCATTAAATTGATCCATTTATTGCAACATCTGATTGATTAGAAATAGTTATGTTCCTTTTTAAGTTACTATGCCCTTATGTGACAAGACTTTTGTCAATGACTGTATATAATGTTCTATTCACAAACTGACACTGAGTGAAGGAGAGGTCCCCCCCTTTATTCATTCATTCATTTTAATTGTTCTATGTTCATCTTATTAATATGTACTTTGTATGTCTACAGATTAGCATATTTCTGTTTTACATTGTAATCACCGTTGTTTAATTTTTCATCCCCGTTTACCTCTGGGTGGGTGTGTGTGGGGAATGTTTTTCCCTTCTCCCGTCTTCTATACAAATGGAAAAACTATAAAGCATAAAAAAACTGTTTTGGAAAAGCTGTCAACTGGCAGTTGCATGCCATCGTAGGAATGGAGGTGCTGTTTAAGTGGCTGTATTGTCATAATCATATGTCATGATATTTGTACATTTTACCTGGAATCATTTTGGGCAGTACTTTGTGGGAACTCCAGGCTGTTGCTACCGCGAAGGCACTTGTAGAATGGAATGTCTACTCAATTGATGGTAGTAGAGTGAGCCCCTGTAAACATGCTCATTCCTGGAGGGTCCTGTATGCATATTCATGGTGGGACGCACAAGAAAAGCCCTTCAGTACCGGGACTCCCGGGACCAGAAAGTGTCAGCAGCCGGCATTGAGCTGAGAACAGGGAGGAAGTGGAGAGCAGAGAGAGCAGTGGATGTGGCAGAGTCACGCCTCGGGCAGAAGGAGCTGGTGGGGACGTTGGCCATCAGGAGAGCTGGCTTGGGCTTTTTCCCCAAAGACCCAAGCAGGCAAGGCCCGAGGGAAGGGGAGACACCAGCTAATCCAGGAAGAGGTCCGAGCCAGCAGGGAGGAAGAGCGAGTGAGCAGAACAGTGGGGCTCAGGCAGCAGGGGGCATGGACAAAGTGGGAGAGTATCCTACAGCGCAAAGTCGCCTGGACAGACACCATGCAGGCAGCCTTCTATCAGGTCCGTTTCCTCGTCCAGGCTGTATATGATGCCCCACCAAGCCCAGCCAACCTCCATGTGTGGGGCAAGAGTGAGTCACCAGCATGCCAGCTATGCTCTGGAAGGGGATCCTTACAGCACCTGCTGAGTCGCTGTCCAAAGGCTCACTGGCAGAAAGCATACGCAATGCCATCATCCCTAGAAAACACCATCTTGCCCCGAAGACAAGAATCGCCTTTGTCAAAGCTGGACGGGAACCCTGTCGACAGTGAAGAACCAGGTCAGGTCTCCTACACACAGCCTCTGACTGGCAGCTGCAAGCCGACCTGGGAAACGGCTGAAGTTCCCTCTCAGCTTATTGCTACGACATCACTCCGGCCAGATATAATCATCTCTGAGGCAACAAAACGGCTGATTGTGCCCAAAGTCAGTGCCCTGAGAAGAGTGGATGGAAGAAGCAAATGAAAGAGAACGCAGAAAGTACCAGGAGCTGGTCAAGTGCCGGGGAGGGGGCTGGAAGACTCACTATGATCCAGTAGAGATGGGCTGTAGAGGTTTTGCAGG